TTCAAAGTATTTGACTTGTCAGCAAATCAAAGTAGAATACCAAAGACCTGTAGGTTTGTTGCAACCTTTAGATATTCTTGAATGGAAATGAGAATGTATTACTATGGACTTTGTTTCAGGACTACCCTGAACTTCTAGAAAGCATGATGCTATTTGAGTTATCATTGATAGGTTAATGAAATCTGTATATTTCCTATCGATCAATATGACTTATTCTCTTGATAGGCTTGTAAATTTATATATCAATGAAATAGTAAGACTTAATGGTGTTCCAAAGGAGATCATCTCTAACAGGGACTCCAGATTTCTATCTAGATTTTGGAGAAGGTTATAGGAATCTATGGGTACTAAAGTCAAGTTTAGCACTACTTATCACCCTCAAACTGATGGTCAATCAGAAAGAACCATTCAAACACATAAAGATTTGCTTCGAGCCTATGTTATGGATTAGAAAGGTGAATGAGATAAAGATATATCTCTTATTGAGTTTACTTATAATAATAGTTATTATTCAAGTATTCAGATGACTCCTTATAAAGCTTTATATCGGCGAAAGTGCAGGACGCCTATATGTTAGGAAGAAATTGGCGATAGAAAGTTATTAGCACCAGGCAAAGTACAAGAGATTACTAAGAAAATTTAACTTATAAGAAAAAGATTAAAGACTACTCAGAGTTGTCAAAAGAGTTATGCTAATAACAAAATAATAAATCAAATAAGCACAGAAATATGTTTGAGTCTAGTTTTCAATAAATCATATTTTGTATGAATCTAAATTCCCAACCGAAAGTTATAAGCAGTTAAGCAACAAGAGGTCAGAAATTACAGTCCCTATTTTATAGAATATGTAGGGTTAATTGAAACAGAAGTCTGAGTAGGCATTTAAACTCCAAATCATACAATCTCAGTATCAAAATAAAGATCTTTAAGTCTACTTTCAAATGAATTAGACTTTACCTAAATTAGAGTTTAGTGCTAAAAGTTAGGTCTGAAATAGTACATAGAGGTTAGATTACTAAAAAATTACAGATTCAGAGCTTTGTATCAAAACGAAAGAAAGGTTTGGTTCTAAGCTGAAATCTTTCAAATTATATAGAATTAAAATGAAAACAGAGATTAGGATTTCTGTGGGATGGGGTTAGAACACTTTTAGCATAGTTTGATTCCCAAATGTAGGGAAAATGATGCAAAACCTTAAGCTCTTCTTCTTCTTCTTCTTCTTCTTCTTCTTCTTCCCTTCTCTTCTCTTCTCAAATCCATGCTAGTTACAGAAACTTAAGTTTTGTTTTCTTTAATCTTTCATCAAATCATTTAGGTTTGGCTAATACAAGGGTTGCATGGTATCAAGCATACATGAAAGGGCTTATGTATCATCCATAGAACCAACATGGGTGGCATATTTAGGTTAGCTAGTGACACGTGTCCTCTATTTTTTTCTTTTTTAAATTTAAATCTAAATCTTTCATAAATCATATCAGACTTCTAATATTTACTCTTAGGTCCCTAGCCATATATTTCTAATATAATATCATTTAATATAAAAAAATTATTAAATAATCCTCATATTTACAAATAAGAATTCACTAATTTTTTTTTTAATGGGAGATGTTACACTCTCCCCTCCTTAAAAGAAAATTTTAATCCTCTAAATTTATCATACGTCTTTAGACGAAAAGATGAGGATAAGCTTTCTTTATTTCTTCCTCAAGCTCCTAGGTTGTTTCCTTTCTAGAATGATATCTCCAGATCACTTTAACTAGAGGGATGACCTGATTCCCCAGGATCTTTTCTTTCTGATCAACAATCTGAGTGGGCTCTTCCACATAAGACAAGTCTTTATCAATCACCATCGGCTCATACATAATAATATGAGAGGGATCATGTATATACTTTTCTTTATTTCTTCCTCAAGCTCCTAGGTTGTTTCCTTTCTAGAATGATATCTCCAGATCACTTTAAATAGAGGGATGACCTGATTCCCCAGGATCTTTTCTTTCTGATCAACAATCTGAGTGGGCTCTTCCACATAAGACAAGTCTTTATCAATCACCATCGGCTCATACTTAAGAATATGAGAGGGATCATGTATATACTTTCTAATCATTGAAACATGAAATATATCATAGATATGCCACAACGATGGTAGCAAGGCAATCCTATAAGCGATAGAACCAACCCTCTCAAGAATCTTAAAAGGTCCAATAAATCTTGGGCTTAACTTTCATTTTTTCTCAAATCTTACAATACCTTTAGAAGGGGAGACCTTCAGGAATACAAAATCCCCGATTTGAAACTCAATATCTGTGTAATGATATAAACTTATGGTATATGTTGGTTCTGTGATTATATAGATTGTCACGCTTACGGATTTATGATGTAGTTATGGTTTAGTTAAGTTGGCTTTGGATTTTATGAATCATTAAGTGATACGATGGTATGATTATAAACTGCACATGTTTTATGAATTGTGGATTATATAAGTGAATTTTGACTTGAGTGTTTTCTTAGTGGCCTCAAATGTATGATTGGATCCTGGATTGTTTGTTGAATTATAATATTATCAATTTTGAGTTAGGTTCACACCTCCTGAATGAGAATTAAATTTAGGGGGCGTGACATGAGTAGAGGTTCGGATACGAGATATCCGTCGAAGCCCCTATCTTATTGGATATGCAATAAATCCATGAATTATTGGATCATATGATGAGATCAAATAAGAACCAATGAGAGATTATTGGATAGAGATCTACTAATCTAAGAAGCTTGGGTAGTTAGATGGAGATCTAATACCCAATAAGATAGGATCCATTATGTTAAATTAACAGGGGGCATCTATAAATAGGAGGGAACCAAGCATACATAGCCTAGAGGTTTTCTTGGTTGCCACCTCCTATTCTCCTCTCCCTTTCTCCTCCTCAAATAGTAGGTGTGGAGATTTGATAGCGATTCGAGGAGCGTTCTCGTAACCCTGCTATGTTGGATCACCGCTAGAGAGGAGGATGCTTGACCTCCTTTATCCTCTCCTACAGATCTACAAGGATTCAAGGATATACGATCTCCCTAGGTAAAACATAATATTTCATATATGTAGTTTTCGGTTTTATGGATTTTGCGTACCAATCTTCACACGACAACGAACACCTTTTTAGGAAATCTGAGAATTTTGTTTTCTATTCTTCCGCTGTGCATATGATGTCGCCCCTAGATTTTTTTACATGTAGTGCCACCACATGTAGCAATAATATTACTTGTTGCCCATGGTGGCTATCGCCACACGTAATGCCATCACTTCCCTCTATAGCAATCGACAATAACACTTTTTGTGCTACCACACGTAGTTGACATTATTGTACCATCATTGTGTGTGCAGCACCACCTATAGCCAAATCCTACCATCGCAAGCAACATCAACACCACCCAAGGTAGTTGTTGCCCATGATGATAAACGACCCTCAATAGTGCTTCTGTTGATGGTAAGCTATCGATAATAGCCCGTCAAATAAATACAGGTAACATACTTCTAACATAGTTCCATCCATGTTACGAGCATGTGAGGAATACTAAGGAATAAATTCAAAGATAAGATAGGAAAGCAACTCGTCAATACAGACGAATCGTTCAAGCATCATACAATCGAAATCGAATAACACCTTTTCATAAATGTGCTATTAAATAGATCTAAATACAAAATATATCTGATATACTTTTATGATCTAAGATATTTGATTTTAAAACATGACTCCATATCAGTTGTAAGTATAAAAACTATAATTATAATATTTTATGAAAAATATTAATATCAGAAATTGAAATCAAATAATGATATATCAAAGATTATAATAGCAAACCTTTTAATGTTATTAAAAAATTCTTTATATGATATACAAATATACTATCATCAGATTTGAAATGAGAGATGTGAGAAGATATGTAATCTCTCAATGTATAACTTAACGTATTAAGTTCCTAAGAGGTCTTGTTTATTTATAAACAAGAGAAGAGAGTCTAGGATAAGTAATTAGGAAAATATCTTACATGAAAGGTTCTTAAAAAATTCTAATCAAAATCTAAATAAATTTATAATATATTATACCATATAGGATCATGTAATAAAAAACATTAATGCTAATCAAATAGAATTATCTAATTATAATATATATAGATCTCCTTCGAACATATTCATACCATCGACAATAAATATTGTCTTCTGGTCACACTTTTAAGACAGTAAGTTTTGATTCTGTGTGTTCTGTTATTTCTCTTTGCTCCATTGATTTCATGCTGATGCCAAAGCTTAGCTCAAGTGTGTGTAAATATTTATGCTAATCTTGTTGTGCCTTTTCTTACTGGGTGATATTTAATGCTTTAACATCTTCCAAACCCATTCGAGGCCATTTGGTGAAACAAATTAAGGTTAAGTCTTGTTGTCATTAACTCTTAAATGCATTAAGAAATGCATGAAATTGCAGAAGGTTGGTGACATTCTTTTCAAGTTCCAATCTGTTTTTGTGTTGGGTTGAGGTATTTTTCATGCTTATTTTATATTTATTATTTTTGAAAATTTTCAACTCTTAAAAGTCTCCTTGGAATTCCTACTTAGAATTTTTACGCTGTCCAAATTCAGATGGTAATTAAAAAAGGTATTTAGAATTTATCATCTATAAATTTAATTTTAACATATATATATAATTGTATGATTGATATCTAAGTTGATGTTTGTATATTACTAAGAGCCGATATTAGTTGAGAGTCAAAAAGTGTCGATAACTCGTGTAGATAGCGCACCAAAGTAGCACGTGTGCCAAGTTTATTTCCGAGGAGTAAATGATAATAATAATAATAATAATAATAATAATAATAATAATAATAATAATAATAAGAACATCGGATTGGTGTCTAACATGGTTCAGTTGGACCGGACCGGATTGGACCAGAACCGGAGTGGAGGCCGCATCGAGCTGTTAAGTAGCGACCGCGCGTCACCTTTAGGGTTTCCTGTCGACTTCTCGTGGTGTTCAGCGGCGCTTCCGAGTTCTTTCGAGAGGCGGCGAAGCGAGGCGGCCGAGATCCGGAAAAATGGTTCGTTTCGTTTCTCATCTTTTTCCCGTGGCTTGATGAATTGCTTGTTGGTGTTTGCCTGCATATCTAGGGTTCATAGATCAGTCCTTCGTGTTAGTAATTTCTTATGCCCGGAAAAGCGTCGACATGTAGTGATTAATATATTGATCTCAGTAGGTTTGCATGGTTTTAGTGCCTACATTTTACAATGTAAGGGTTATATAGCTGATTTGACGTGAATCTGTGCAATTTTAGATGGATTAATGTTTCTGGTATGTGCCTTTGGGGATGTTGGTGGGCACTGATTATTGAATATCATGTTTCATTCACCCTGAAAGCATATTTTTCAGTTGAAAACCTTTGTTCACTTGTCTGCATCTTGAATACTTCGTGATGAAGATTTTTTGTTGTGGCTAAGATTTGATAAAGCTATGATTGGCAATCCTATATATCTTCTCTCTTTAACTTTGTTTTAGGAGCTGTCTTGTGGTAGTTTGGTACTGGATGGCTGTTGCCACCCTAGTTTTGATATGGTGCGCGAGGGTTCCAAGGAGACTAACGAAACGACACCAGTTCTAGACATGCAAACTGTCAAGGATCAGACGAAAACAATACGCTGGATTTGTAGATATCAAAGATCTCTAGCAAACAGGAACCTGTGACTTCTGTTTATTCTTGTGGTGTCGTTTTGGCCTCGAAGGCACAAATTGGAAGTTTGATTGCTCCATGAGATGATTGTTTACAGAGCGGTGCTTGTCAAGAACCATGACAGGTCTTGATGGACTATTTTTTTAGAACTAGGCCAGTCATTTTTTTTCTGCCTTCTAGGTGCCCATCAATATACATCCTAATTCTTCATGAAATACATGATCGTTCACTCTTTTTCTTGCTTGTTGGACTTAGTTTCATTTGATGCACTTCAGGCCAGGGGATTGAAGAAGCATCTGAAGAGGCTCAATGCCCCAAGGCACTGGATGCTAGACAAGCTTGGTGGAGCTTTTGTAAGTTGAAAATCTTTTCCTTGAAGTACTTCATCTTGTTTCATTTGTTTATGCAGTTGTCTGAGTACCAGATTTTATTATCTACTAGGCTCCCAAACCATCATCTGGCCCTCATAAAGCCAGGGAATGCTTGCCCTTGATTCTTATTTTAAGAAACAAGCTGAAATATGCTCTAACATACCGTGAAGTCATTGCTATACTGATGCAACGCCATGTGATGGTGGATGGAAAAGTCAGGACCGACAAGACTTACCCAGCTGGTTTCATGGGTATGCAGTCAACCCTATTTTGATGTAATATGCTTAGCTGTTTTTCCAGTATCGGTTTTGTTTACCCTGAAATCACTTTGTTTATATTTAATTACATCTAGTTTATGATGTAGTGCATCTTCATTATGTTTATTTTGGTGGATTTTTTTTGTAAAATTGTCTGAAATCTGCAGATGTTGTTTCAATCCCCAAGACAAATGAGAACTTCCGCCTTCTTTATGACACCAAGGGACGCTTCCGTCTTCATTCGATAAGGGATGAAGAATCCAAGGTCTGTAGACATTATAGTTTATTCTTTTATAAATTGTTTGTTGAACTGCTCACAACAAATTTTGATTTTAACTTCTACTATAGAAGAAAATTGCCTGTCGAAGATTAGTCATCTCTCGTGTATTCTTATTATTGGTCTACTTGTCAACTATGTTTCTTATGGTTTGAAACAATAATAGTTCTATGTTATATGAATGTGTAATGGATATTATATGGTTTGAAACAACTATTTCAACTGCTAAAACTTGTAATGGATAATATCACTAGTTATATGAAGGTAAAATCATTGGCAAGAATCAATTTTCTGCTATATGAAAATCTAATATGTGAATATAAATGATAATTAGTTCTTGAGATCTTTTACTGTGTTAAAAAAGCCTTTTTTTTCTACTCCACAGTTCAAGCTTTGCAAGGTTCGCTCTGTACAGTTTGGACAGAAGGGCATTCCCTACCTGAACACTTTTGATGGTCGTACCATTCGCTACCCTGACCCTCTTATCAAGGCCAATGACACCATCAAGCTTGATTTGGAGACCAACAAGATTGTGGACTTCATCAAGTTTGATGTTGGAAATATTGTCATGGTGACTGGTGGGAGAAATACCGGTCGTGTCGGTGTGATTAAGAACAGAGAGAAGCACAAGGGGAGCTTCGAGACCATCCACGTCCAAGATGCCACCGGCCATGAATTTGCAACTCGCATGGGCAACGTCTTTACCATTGGTAAGGGCACGAAGCCATGGGTGTCACTTCCCAAAGGCAAGGGTATCAAGCTCAGCATCATCGAGGAAGCAAGAAAGCGCTTGGCTGCTGCCAGTGCAACTGCCACTGCTTAGACTGCTCTGCGACCACCGGAATTTTTGTTTTATGGTTTGTTATTTGCTGTGGAAAGGGATGGTCATGACAACTCGAATTTGGACCCTTTTTCTTTTCTTATTACTTGCATGCCAATTTCCCTTTGGATGATTAGTAGAAAATGAGATGTTTGTCATGATTGTAGTTTCATGAGCAGGGTTGTTTTAAGTTTCACCATTTTGCCGGTCAAACTGTTGAATTCGGATATCTATTTGGTTGAGAACTATTACTCTTTCATTCTCTGGTGTAGAAGATTGAAATTGGATTTTGTGTTACACGTATGAAAAATGGTAAAAATTAGGAAAATTTGAAATGGCTAAGTTTTGGGCAAATCAAGGAAAGTGGCAAACAGAGTATGTGTCTTGGAACAAAAGTCACGTTTGTATTGTTCCATGCTTGACTAATCAATCTTGGGTTACCGTTTTGCTTAAAGCTGGCAAATATTACTGCATGTCTCAGAATTTTATTCTTCAAACAAGAGAGCTTTGCACCAGCCAACAAGTCTCTTCTTTTCTCTTCTCATTCTTCATTCCACTTCTTTTCTCTTCTCATTCTTCATTCCATTCCATTCTTTCTTGATGTAGAAATTATTGAAATTATGAGGGAGTCATGTATATTGATCCTTCTTATTTTGTATCCTTATATTCTTGATCTTACTCCAAAATTGTTCTGTCAGAGATTAGAGCAACAGAAAGGAAACCACCTCCATTTCGCTATAATATTTCATCTTGCTAATTGCTATGTATATACTGACACTTGTATTTATATAAAAATTATATAATGATGTTCTGCAGTTCTACAGTTACAAATGTCTGATGGAGAGAGAGAGAGAGAGAGAGAGAGAGAGAGAGAGAGAGAGATCCCATAGAAAGGGTAAGGAGGGGTATAGGACTTACTTGCAATAGCAAAATATTCTCTTAGGGGTTGAGAGAGAGAGAGAGAGAGAGAGAGAGAGAGCTCCCATAGAAAGGCTGAGAGGGGTATAGGACTTCGAAGCAGATCAAAATATTCTCTCTTAAGGGTTAAGAGAGAGAGAGAGAGAGAGAGAGAGAGAGAGAGAGAGAGAGAGAGGAGGGTCTAGGACTTCCTTACAATATCAAAATATTCTCTTTAAGAGAGAGAGAGAGAGAGAGAATATGACAAGAACTGGGTCCAGATTTATGTCACAAAGATTTGCTTTGGAGTTAATATCTTTCCTAGGCTATTTCCCCCCTCAAGACAAAATATTTATGTCACAAAATATTCTCTCTTAAGGGTTAAGAGAGAGAGAGAGAGAGAG